AGGCTCTTTAGACCCTAACCTGGGATCCTTCAGTTTCAGCTCCAGACCACAGAGCCCCAGGCCCCCACTCTGGCCCTACTACTGGGGCTGACACATCAGAGGGACATTAAATAATAAAAATAAAACAATAACCAACTCTTGTTCAATCTTTCTAGGGACCAGGCACTGTTCTAAGAGCCTTGTATATAATATCTTATTAAATCCTCTCAACAGCTCTATTATCCACCCCACTTTACACATGGAAAACCAAAGCCCAGACAGGTTAAGTAACCTGCCTACGGTCACAGAGCTCTGAAGGGGCTCCAGAGACTGCACTTGTAACCACTAGCTCTGCTGCCTCTCTCTGGACACAGCCAAGGGCTGGTGGCCATCCTCCTTAAGTCCCACCTGGGCAGGCCCCATAAGGCACTGTTGCCACCCCAGGGCCTCACCTGTCTGGTTGATGCTGACACTGGCGGTGCGGAAGCTGCGGCTGGTCACCAGGCCCGAGACGCCATTGCGGGCCTCCACGGCGAAGGTGTAGTTCATGTGGGGCTCCAGGTCACTGACCGTCACGCTGGTACGGGTCAGCGCGTGCGGTGGCTCCGAGTAGCGCACGCTCTCCTCGCAGGGCCCGCACTCGCCGGACTCGGGCCAGCACTGTTCGCAGGTGACACTGTAGACGATGTCTTCACGGCCCCCGCTGTCCTGGGTCCCCACTCTGGCCCTACTACTGGGGCTGGCACATCAGAGGGACATTCAATAATAAAAATAAAACAATAACCAACTCTTGTTCAATCTTTCTAGGGACCAGGCACTGTTCTAAGAGCCTTGTATATAATATCTTATTAAATCCTCTCAACAGCTCTATTATCCACCCCACTTTACACATGGAAAACCAAAGCCTAGACAGGTTAAGTAACCTGCCTACGGTCACAGAGCTCTGAAGGGGCTCCAGAGACTGCACTTGTAACCACTAGCTCTGCTGCCTCTCTCTGGACACAGCCAAGGGCTGGTGGCCATCCTCCTTAAGTCCCACCTGGGCAGGCCCCATAGGGCACTGTTGCCACCCCAGGGCCTCACCTGTCTGGTTGATGCTGACACTGGCGGTACGGAAGCTGCGGCTGGTCACCAGGCCCGAGACGCCATTGCGGGCCTCCACGGCGAAGGTGTAGTTCATGTGGGGCTCCAGGTCACTGACCGTCACGCTGGTACGGGTCAGCGCGTGCGGTGGCTCCGAGTAGCGCACGCTCTCCTCGCAGGGCCCGCACTCGCCGGACTCGGGCCAGCACTGTTCGCAGGTGACACTGTAGACGATGTCTTCACGGCCCCCGCTGTCCTGGGGGGGCGTCCAGCGCAGCTCCACTTTGGCACCCATGCCCACAGCCGTGAGGTAGTGTGGGGCAGAGGGTGGGCCTGCACCCGGGGTAGAAGTCAGTGCCCAGCCAGACCCAGGTGGCCCTGGACGTGTCAACCACCACGCCACGCTCCCCTCAGTCACCCCTCCCTGAACCACTGCAAGACTCACGTGTGCAGGGCATTGACAGTGGGTCCTGAGGGGCCCGGAAGTAGCCTTCCTCACACTCGCAGTTGGTGGCACCCTCAGGGGACGGCAGGGTGTGCACAGGGCACTCCAAGCAGGGGCTCTCGGATACCTCAGACTTGAAAAATCCAGGTGAGCAGGCTAGCAGGCACAGGGACAGATTGGGCACAAGGACATCAGTTTAATCTGTTCCCACCCCAAGTGACGGTCCCATTCCCTCACTGTGGGACCCAGCAAGTCGCTAAATCTCTACAGAACTGTTTTCTCATTGGCAAAATGTCTTAGGATGAGAAAATGTACCACAAGCACCTAGCATGTGCTGGGTACCCAGGAAGTGCCT